CAGTATTTGAATGTTTTGAAATTTATTGACACTTGCTTTGTGGCCTAACATATGTCTATTCTGGAGAATGATTCATGTGCATTGGAAAAGAATGTGTATTGATTTTGTTGTCTGCAATATTGTGTATATATCTATGAGGTCAATTTAATTGATTATGCTGTTGAGATTATCTGTATCTTTGTTCAATTTTTTTTTATAGTTATTCTGTCCTTCATTGAAAATAGTATGTTGAAGTCTCCTACTACTATTGCAAACTTGTTTATTTCTTCTTTCAGCTAATGTTTGCTTTATGTATTTTGGAGCTGTTTCATTGGGTGCATAGATATTTATTATGGTTATGTCCTCTTGGTCAATTGACTCTTTTATCATAATATAATGCCCTTCTTTGTCCCTTGTGCTGGTTTCACCTTGAAGTCTATTTTATCAGAAATTGATATTGCCACTCCTGCTCTTTCTTGGGCACCATTACTTTGATATTTTTTTTCTATCTCTTGAATTTTAATTCATTTTTATCTCTCTCTTTAATTTATTTTTATCAATATGCTCTTGTAGGTAGCATATTGATGTATCTTGTTTTCTTATCCACTCCTGTACTGTCTTTCTCTTGGTGTATTGAATCCATTCACAATCAGTGTAATTAATGATAGATGTGAATTTACTGCTATCATTTTTTTGTGTGTTTTTTATTGTAGTGTTAACAGTTTCTTTGTTCCAAATATTTTTCTGTGCCAATGTGTTTTCTTTTTATTGTCTCTTGCCTCAGACATTTTGAAGTTGTTGTTTTTATTTGTTCATTATGTGCTCATTTGTTTCACGGTAATTTCAGCATTCTTTGTCAGCACCACAACTCAAAAACATCAACTCTTCTTCAGCCTTCCTAATCATTGTCCAGCTCTTACATGCATATGAGGTGATTGAATATACCATGGCATGGGATAGGCACACTTTGGTCTTCAAGGAGACATCTTTGCTCTTCATTACTTGAAAGAGGTCTTTTGCAGCAGATTTGCCTAATGCAATATGTTGTATGATGTCTTGACTGCTGCTTCCATTGGTGTTGATTGTAGAACCAAGTAATATGAAGTCCTTGACAACTTCAATCTTTTTTCTATCCACTGTGAAGCTGTTTATTGGACCAGTTGTGAGGATTTTTGTTTTCTTCATATTGAGGTGTAATCCATATGGTAGACTGTAGTCTTTAATCTTCATCAGTAAGTGCTTCAAGTCATCCTCACTTTCAGCAAGCAAAGTTGTGTCATCTGCATATCTCAAGTTGTTGATGAGTCTTCCTCCAATCCTGATGCCACATTCTTCTTCATATAATCCAGCTTCTCAGATTATTTGCTCAGCATACAGTTTGAATAAGTACGGTGAAAGATGTAAACTTGATGCACTCGCTTCTTGATTTTAAAACATGCAGTATCCCCTTGTTCTGTTCAAATGACAGCCTTCTAGTTCATGTACCAGTTCCTCATAGGTACAATCAAATGTTCTGGAATTTCCTTTCTTCTCAATGTTATCCATAATTTGTTATGATCCACACAACCAGACACTTTAGCATATCCAATCAGAAAAATTGGGGAAAAGAAAAAGAGGAAAGTGATTTTGAAATGATAATAATAATAATAAGGGAAAAGTATAAAATAATAAGGGAAAAGTATAAAATAATAATATTGATAATAAGGGAAAAGTAAAGAAGCTGAGAAGGGAGAGTGTTGTAGTTATAGTTATCCAGCAGCCCTGGGAGCAGGCAGTTGTGGCACAAACCAATGATCCTCTGGGATGTGTGCCCACAGAGGTGAAAGGACCCTATGTGAGTGGACACCTCCAAGAGAGAAAGCTGCAGGTGTGTGCCTCTTGTGCCCAGTGTGAGAAAGATCAACCAAGGATAGAAGTACAGAATGGAGACATACAGCCCCTGGGTCTGTCTTTTGGAATGGGTTGTTGAGGGTGGCTAAGCTGTAGAGGATGTGGTTGTGGGATCCAGGCAGGACTTCCATAGCCACTGGCTTGGTTATAGCAGGAAGAGGTTTTGCCCCTATTCACAGGGAAATTATACTTCTTGGAACTGAGAAAGTATATAATCTCTTTTGAATTCCAGATGGATCTATTATCTGTTCTTCAGGTATTACCTGCTCACTAGTTGTGACTCAGTAGTGTGGGTCTGGCACCCTTCTGGCTACACACAGCTATTTATCCAACTGCTGCCCAGACGACAGTGAAAGGCCACAACCTTCTCCCCTCACAGAGGTAGAAGGTGCCTGGAGTCAGTGGGTACCTCTGAGAGAGGAGGCTATAGAGGTATTCTCCTTGTGTTCAATATGACAAAGATCTATCAGTGCCTCAGGCACCAGGCAGGAAAGCCTCAGCAGCTGACTCTGTTAGAGGCTGGTTGTCAGGGGTAGCTAGTCTGTTGTGAAGGTGGCCAGAGTTCCAGACAGAAGGTGGCAGGGCTTCTCTCACCACCAGGTTAGTGGAGGCAGAAAGACTGTTTACCTCTAGGCACAAGGAAAATGTATGTTTGCTAGATGGGAGACTGTAGTTCTCCATTTGCAGTTCATTAGTGTGAGTCTGATGTCCTTCTGGGTGCATGCAGCCATTATTCAGATTCAGTCAGGCAAGAGGCTATCCTGAGCCTGGCTTCAACTGCTCCAACACAGGCTGCTCCAACACAGCCCAAATGACTAGTGTCTACTCTAAAAACCAAAAGACCAAACTCCCTTCTATCTAGTCAATTCCAACTCATAGCAGCCCCCATTAGGTTTCCAAGGCTGTAAATCTTTATGGAACTAAATTGCCTCATCTTCCTTCTGCACAGTGGCTGTGGGTTTGAACTGCCAACCTTCTGTTTAGCAGCCAAATGCCTTATCCACTGCATACTAGTGGTGACTTGTTTCATTCCCTTTCTCTGACTCCTTCCTCATTCTCCAACCACTATAAGTCTGTCCCACTTCCCTGCACATTCCCCTCCCTGCTCTGTTCACATTGAATTCTTCCTTATCTGTCTACACTGTGTCTTTATCACCATATGGATTTTATGAAGTTGTTTTTTCTGTTTAATACTTCTGTGCTTAAAATGGCAACTCTTCCACCTATCCTGGCTTCTTTTCTCACCAGTAACTAATCTCACTCCATCTCCCTTTCTAATCAGATCTAATTCTTTATTCTCTTATTTGATACTCAGAATTCCAGGATCATTATTTCTACCTGTTTCCACTTGTTTTTCCAGATCTCTGTTTTAGAGGGATGAGGTGGAGTGCATTAACAGGATGCCATCTTGTGTATGTTTTTAAATTGAATGCCTTGCTTGTTTATTTTCAGTTTCTTCAATTTATTTAAGAAATACATATGAAGCTACCTGTTTCTTCTGTTTGGAGTCAGCAGCAACCTTTGGTGCTGCCTACCTTTTGGCAGCATTACCCACGCTAATTTATCCCATAGGCAAATGTTATTGCTGTCAGTTGCCTAGCACCATTAGGAGAGTGTGAGAACCTTCTAACCTTGCAAGTCCGATTCCTTTTCTCAATTAAACATCCTGATTATTGCCCTGACCTCATCCTGTCCCTTTAATCTATTGGTTTCTGAGTTTGAAACTTCTTTGAGAGCATGTCCACATCTGCAGCAGTTTTCTTCTTTGCATGTTTTCAGCTCTAGTTTCATATCTCAAACAACAAAATTTTGGCCCACTGATGACACTTATTTGTTTTTCAGTGCTGTTGTTACAAACATGTTATTATAAACAAACAAATCACTTTCTTTTCAGGAATATTTTTGGATGGGATTGCAGATATGAGCATATTTCATTCAGCTATCTTCACCCAATATGCACCAGCTTCTTAGAGAGCTTCACCAACTTTCTTTATGTTATTTTCAATCAGTAGTTCAATTAGCTTTCAGTAGTTGCGTTCTGGTCTCAGTTGTTCACCTAGAGAATGGCTGAACTCTTACCAGTTTTTTTAATAATTGATTTTGTAAAGTTATTGTTTTAAACTGAAAAGTTGGTCTAAGTTTACTTATTAATAATTGAATGTTTACTGATAATAAATAACTATTAATAATTAATTGTGATAATTATAATTAATTATAATTAATTAATAATTATTAATAATTAATTCTGAACTTTTTATAAAGCTGAGAGTTTAAAGAAATCATCATATATAGTGAAGCAGAATGTTCACATGAGGAATACTGCAGGATAAGGAGATCCAGTTTTAGTATCTGGTTACTGGGGTATTTGGCAAGTCACATACCTATTCTGTACACTAATTTTTTCATCTTTTATTTGTTTAAGGCACAAATAGAAGCACTGATATGGAACTCTTTTAATGCTATGAAAGATTAGATATTTTTAGGATTATTATTGTTTTTTTTCAAATATCTGAGCCATCTTCTCTTTAGGTTAGTTTAGGGACATTTACTCACTAGCCTTTAATTTATATGAGTGCCTCATTTATAAAATGTTGATGATAAGAGTAATCACGGGGTGATTGTTACATATAAGTTGTCAACCATTTCTGTTTTAACAATTTTGACCAGGACTGAAGCCATATTCATCAAAGCATCTGAAACTATTAATGAGTATGGAAATTTCGTTGATTCTATAATGACAGTATAGAAAAAAAATTATCAGGCTTTACTCTCTAATAATAAGTTATACACATCTGCCACAAACTTTGACACATACACACTACTTTTCAAGAATTTTCCAGAAGCTAGAAGGATTCAACAACTCAGTATTTCTCTTAATATGATTAAGGATGTTTATTCCAGAAGTAAACCAAAGAGATTGTGTGTGTGTGTGTGTGTGTGTGTGTGTGACTTTTGTGTTCAGAAGAAAAGTAAGACAGAAGTTGAGGGCATTTTTTGTTTTCCTTCATTTCAGACTAGCTAGAATTTCAAACCATGAAAAAGCTAAAAGGAACAATTTAAATAATAGAAGCTTAAATTTAAAGATTTAAACAATTATCGGTTGTCTCACTAATATTTACTTTGTTTTATAGGGACACTTAGGATTGATGGGTCCTAATGGAGAACCAGGGATTCCAGGATATAGGGTAAATATTTCTAATTGGAAATAGGCGGGTATATATTTGCCTGAAAGCATTTATGTTAAAGATATTATCCCAAATATTCAAATTAAGATGAAATCTCTCTCATAAAACTTTCTAAAATATTTAGCCCTCATCTCCCAATAGTTAGTTCCATCTGGTCTACTCCAACCCATAATGACCTTAAATATATAACAACAAAATGTTACCTTGTCCTGTACCATCTCCCTATAGAGTGAATCTTCTTTTTTATTTCAGAATACAGTAGCTTAATTTCTAACGGTATGGGCTTAGTGGTATGAGGTAGAGAATATACAAATAATACAGGAAATATCTGCTGACTTGTCCCTTTCTTAGGGCCATCAAGGTCAACCAGGACTTTCTGGGTTACCAGGACCTAAAGGAGAAAAGGTGTGTGTGTATGTGTATGCTACCTTTTTAATCCCAAAAATTAAATATTAAAGTTATTAATTCTTTCTAAAAGAATGAATGGAAATATTCTCAAGGAATAAAAGAAACATTTTTCAACTTTGGAAGTATTAGAGATTCTCGAAGAAAAATAAATATCGGGGGCTAAAATTCAAATAAATAATCAAAATGTTGCCATATGCTATTTTGAGATTGAGGTAAAATAACATATGGGTAAATGCATTACAATTTGTAAAGCTCTGTAAAAGCAAAATTACTTACTTTAAGAGCTTGTGAGACTCTAGGTTAAATGACAAATTATACGACATTTATGTTAAAATGTTCTGATGACTTAGGAATAACCACTACAAGACTCTTAATTCACAAAATCATTGAAAACTTGATTCTGAGAAAATTCCTAATTTAAGCCAACTGGCACTTCCAAGCAGAGCCATATTTATATTATAACTATGCATGAAATATCATATGCTAAGTCTCTCAATAAAAGTCTTACATTTGAAAAAGACAAAACCAGATTGTGTATTTCCTAACATATTAGAAATTAATAGGCTACATACTTTTAAGGTTATTTTATTAATTTCGTTATGTGTTCTAAATCATTATTTTCATTTTAGGGCTACTCAGGAGAAGATAACACAGTCCTAGGATCACCTGGGCCTCGAGGTGAACCAGTAGGTCTTTTTCTAAAATTATTTTGATACTTCAAAATAAAATGCAATTATATAGATAAATAAAATAGATTCAGAACACTAATCTCATCTTTTCAAAGAGCTTTATTTTCTTATTTTTATAACATGGTTTAACATGGAAGCATTATCCAACTCATAGTGACCCCTCCTTGGATTTCCGAGGCAGTATCATTATCGAAGTAGATTGCCCAGTCTTCCTTCCGAGAGGTAGCTGGTGGGTTTGAACCACCAGCCTTCTGGTTAACAGTCAAATGCCTCAGGCACTACACCACCAGAGCTCCCTGTTTGTGATAACAACATCTAAATAATATGAAAGCCTTAAATTATATCCAGGTCAAGATCCATAACATAGTATATAGAGTTGAAACAGTGACTTCCCAAATCTAACTTTGAACACTGAATGCATGATAACTACCTTTTATAGATTACTGAAAAATTGCACACTGTAGACATTTTAGAGCAGATATTCCTTAGATTACCAAATTCAGATTTATTTCTAAAGTATTAAAAAAATAGGATTTGTACACTTTTTATAATAGTTTATACATAATTGCCAAATGATTTCAAACCCTTTTAACTAGTTATTAGAATCAAGACTTTTATATCACTGATATAGTCTTCTAATTAAGAATTTCAAAGACCAACTTTAACCAGTTTTTTTTAAAAGTAGCTGTTCTTGTAGCTTTGATTATCTGAGTAGCTGTTTCTGTGTTAATAAAGCAAAACTTTGATTAAATAATGCCTCAAAAATATGCACAAATTAAATGGGTGGAATAAAAATGCTTAGTTCACAAAAAAATAAATTTAATTGGTTTAATTTTCTATTTTCACATAGTTATTGTGATTTAGGATAAAAGAATCCTAAGGCAGAAGGATCAGAATGTGTAGTCATTCTTGATAGTTTGGTTTGGTCCTTTGGAAAGAGTTGAAAGTAACACTTTGTTTAAGAAATAGGGGAAGAGTCTAGAATTTTTTTTATTAAATGAAGCCATTTCATATACCATATTTTTTTGCAAACTAAGGTATCCAGGTAAATAACTTGCACATGCATAGAAACTAACAAGTGAGGGGGTTGCAGTGTATAACAACCATGTAGTATGTGTGTTGCTCGCATAAAAATACAATAAGCCATCTCATACTTATCTATAACAAATGATATGTAATGATCTCCCTCAAATATGTTTTAGTCTCTCCAAACTTCTAAATGAGGGAAAGAATTTGGGAATAAAGCAAAAGCTTAAAAGCAAATGGAAAAAACATTGTCAAGTGGAATAAAGTAGTGCTTGTTTTTCTCCAGATTCAGGTCAGTTTTAAAGAATGTTACCTGAAATATATTAAAAGTCTAGCTTAACAGTGGGAATTTTGTCCTAGAAACACACTATAACTATAGATAGGGAGCAGGCATGGAACTTAAACCAAGAATATCTTAAATAATTAAAGCAGAACCAGAGATTATTGTCTTTATTTTATGTCTAATAACTTCATCCATATAAGAATAAGCTTAAATTTTTCAATTAATGCTCAATAATAAATTCTATGGTTTTGCCAGCTAATTTCAATTTGAGTATCTCTTAAGACAATAGGTGCTAGTTTGCAATAGCAAATATTTCAAGTGCATTTCATAGTAGTTACTTTGAACAACTTTATCATATAAAAGATTTGATACTAGAAATGATTAGAAAAAATTAGTAAGTGCAAATTTAATAGGTTAATTTCTGCATTGAAGACTAAAGTTAATAAGTATAATTTTTATTAGGTTAACTTGTGCCTTGGAGTTTAAAAATTTCACAGATTAAAGAATAAATAAGTAGAATTTCTGGTGAATGGTAAAGTAAGATTAACTATTAAATACTTTTTACAATATCATTTAATATAACCACATATAATTAATGATATTAAGTGACTGCATGTTCCTGATTCAATTTTTCCGTAATTTTAACATTAAGTAAAAATGCATCTGAAAATTCATATTTTTGAATTGAACTTCATTTGTTCAGTATTTTTCCTGACAAGATCATTATGTGATTCTCTTTAGACAGTTCAGTGCTTAGCATATTTTGATGATATTATTGGTGTTATTGAAATTCAGTCTTTTGAAATTATTTAGTAGAACTAAACATATTACTCTGCATTTGGTTTATGCCATATCTTCATATTTTTGGCAAAAGAATAATTTATATTCATTTTATGATCTTCATTCATGAATACTTAAATCAAGCTGTGGCATTTATTGTTCTTGTTTATGGTCTCTGTAGGGTCCAATAGGGGAACGAGGAGAGAGAGGAGGGCCTGGAGCAGAGGGGTATAAGGTAATTGCTGCAAAGTTATACACCTTATTCCTAAATTTCAGTAGGATTCTCTATGGTTCTGCTCAGTTTCAAATGAAAATAAGCATCATTGATGTACTTGTTCTAGATACCATTGAGTTAGTTCTGACTCATAGTGATACTATGTACAACAGAATGAAATTGAGATAGTATTGTCTTATTTTTCAGTCCAGAAGAAGCCTATCTCTTTGCATTGTCTGTTCCTTCTGCTGAAGATCTTCTTTCCTCTCTCTTTCCACTGCTGCTTTTTTCTTCATCATTCAGATATTAGCTGAAATATAACCTTCTGAGAGTCCTCCTCTAATTACCCTATGTAAAGTAGATATATAACCATCATTTTATATCATATTACTGATTTCTTTCATGGCACTTAGTGCTATCTAAAATATCTTAATCACTTTAATTTTTTGTTTCCTTACTTATTGTCTTTCTTCCTCTAAACTGTAAGATTCATAAGAACAGAAATTTTGTCTGTCCTTTTCATCATTACAACCTTAACTTCTAGAACACTAAGTTCCTGGTATAAAGTAGGAATTCAGTGGTTGTCAAATAGATGTATGAATGTCATAATACTCTCAAGCCTTATGTCAATTCATATCCTCTTTTATTCCTTAGGAGAATTTTATGAGATCAACTTGAGCAGTTGTAATTACATTAGACAGTGTGTCAGAGTTTATTGTGTCAGTTTTTATAAGTACATTTGTGTTAAGGATGTTCTGTATTCCTGCCTTATGTTTCTTCCCTCTCTATTTACAATGCCTTTTGCTAAGCAAAAATATCATCTGCTAACTTGCTCCCTACAGTTCCTGTCTTACTTCTTTGCGCACAATGTTCCCTGCTGTTCTTTCATCTTCACTTCCATAAATCCTATCTGTCCTTCATAACTGAGACTCCATTTTCCCTTGACCCACACTCACCTGACTAACAGCAATATTCCCCTCTTCTGTGATCCTTTAATATTTAGTGTCATGACTTAATACAAATATTTTATCATCCTATTTGCTAATTTTTATGCTAATTATTTTCTAATGTGCAGGTGTCTTTTATGCCCAATTTTAATATAAATATTTTCTTTCTTATACAAAATTTAATTCTGAGCCCTGTACATAATAGGTTTTCTAATAATTAATTGATGGGCTAATTGATCCAATACAACCTTCCTTCAAGATAAAATTTCTGTGATCATGTCTGAAATGGCCACTTAGAATAGTCAGATTGAATGGACAAGCTTGTTGGTCAGTTGTTATTATTAATGAACTGATTTTCTCAAGCCAAAAGAATCTGGAAAATTTACTTTCACTCCCTAAAACCTTCTTTGAAGCAATGTTGACAATACTTCTAAATGTCTTTGAAATTCTTGTGATGGCCATTTTATATTTTCTATTCTTAGAGATTGGGCAGTCTACTTCCATAGTGATGCTGCTTCGGCAACCCAAGGAGGGGTTGCTATGAGTTGGGTCTGACTCAACAGCACATAACAACAACAACATTCTTAGAGAATCTTTTTTTTTTAAATGTTGTATGTGTTGTGTTTCCAACTTAGATAACGTTTGGATCTACAAGTATTTTCTAATCCAAAGAATTCAGTAGATTTATTTGAAATTACCTTTTTGGGCTGAGAAGCTAATCCAGTTGCTTCCAGCATAAATTGAAAAGCCTTTTTAATTTTCTTAGGTAGTTCTGTGCATGACTTAACATATTCTCAGGAAAATTAGGTTCTTGCAATATCTTCTTTCCTATAAAATATTTGCCAACTTCATCAATATAAACCAAAAATCTGTTGCCATAGAGTCAACTCTGACCCATATTAGTCCCATTTGTATAAGAATACATCTATACTCCACGGGATTTTCAGTGGCGGATTTTTCAAAAACAGATCACCAGTCCTTTCTTCTGAGGTGCCTCTGGGTAGACTTGAACCTCTTATATTTTTATTTTGCAGCTGAGCATGTGATAGTTAAGGTTAAGTGTCAACTGGGCAGTGGTTTTGAGTATGTGGCAGCTGGATATAGTTATTCCCTATAATGAGATTGTAATCACCTCCATAGTTGAATCTTCTGTGAGCAGCTAAGTAGTTGCCTTCGGGCTGTCGACTGCTTCCAGTATATATGGAGAAACTTTGAGGAAGGTCTCTAGCTTTTTGGTGTATTTTGGATCCTGCATTTGGCCAAGTCCTCATCTCCAGTTTCTGGACTTGAACCAATAGCCTGCAGTGTTGACTGCTGATCTTGGGATTGTACTATTTTACCTGTTGACCTTGGGTTCATCAGCCTCAGCAGCCAGCAGCTGCATGAGTAAGAGACACCTCTAAGTCCAATGGGCCTACAACAAAAGGTAGAGCTGAAGCCCAAGGTCAAGGGACCTTCGCCTAGTTCCTAGAGCTGACACTCCGAATTTGGACTTCTAGCTTCCTAAACTGTAAGAGAATAAATTCCTTTTTCTTAAAGCCACTCACCTGTAGTATTTCTGTTATAGCAGCACTAGAGAAACAAGACAGAGTGTTAACCATTTGAACCACCCAGGGGCTCCTAGCTTATTCAGTATCTGTACTGGAAAATGAGCAGTAAATTATGGTTTTGGAAAAAGAAATTAATCTCTTCACCAGCTACCAGAAGAAAAAATCTGCTCTCATTATTCTAGATAGTTAGACATTCTCTAAAATTTCTTCATCAGAGAGAAACTTTTCCCCAACTCAATGGCACATAGCAACAACAGTCTAACTATGAAATCTATTCTTCCTTCTCATTCCACATATTCCCTGATTAAGTTTGCAGTTGTGATATTTTATGAACCAGCTTGATCCACATCTTCCTTTCTTATTTCATCCTATCTCCTTAGGTTTTAGGGCTCCTTTATCATTTGTTGATGGTTCTCCTCTAAACTGTCAGCCATCTTGTGTCTGAAAAAACACAATAATTTCATTGCTTAGGCATCTGGAAGTCAAGAAATATCCATACTTCTCCCATAGCAAGTCTTCCCAAGCACAATTTTATCCAGGTGATGTTTTTAAAGTCTTTACTTTTTAAAATGGATGTTGTACTGCTGTGATTTCATATCGAAGTAACATTTTGCCAAAGATAATTTAAAAATGGCTGAAGTAATACATCAACAGGAAACTGCTAGAAATTCAAGCTGGATTCAGAAGAAGACATGGAATGAGGGATATCATTACTGATATCAGATGAATCTTAGCTGAAAATATTGGAAAGATGTTTATCTATGTTTTATTGACTGTGTGAAGGTGTTCAACTGTGTGGATCATAGCAAATAATGGATAACATTGCAAAGGATGGGAATTTCAGAACACTTAATTGTGCTCATGTGGAACCTGTACATAGATCAAGAGGCAGGTGTTTGAACAGAGCAAGGAGATACCGTATGATTTAAAATATGAAAAGGTGTGTATCAGGGTTATATCTTTTCACCATACTTGTTCAATTTGTATTCTGAAAAAATAATCCAAGAAGATGGATTAGCAACCTACAAAATGCACATGATGTAGCATTGCTTACTGAGAGTGAAGAGGAGTTGAAGCACTGATGAGATTTACACCTCAACATAAAGAAACAAAAATCCTCACAACTGGAACAATAAGCAACATCATGATAAAAGATTAAATTTGTCAAGGATTTCATTTTACTTGGATCCACAATTCCCAGTCAAGAAGCAGCAGTCAAGAAATCAGACAACGTATTATACTGGGTAAATCTGCTGTAAAAGACCACTTTAAAGTATTAAAAAGCAAAAACGTGACTTTGAAGACTAAGGTGTGCCTCCCAAGGCATAGTATTTTTAATCAACTCATATGCATGGAAAAGCTGAACAATGAATAAGGAAGACTAAAGAAGAGTTGAGGGAGCTCTGGTAGCATAGTGGCTAAGACACTTGCCAGCTAACCAGACAGTTGGTGGTTCAAACCCACCAGCCACTCCTCGGAAGGAAGGTTGGGCAATCCTACTTCCGTAGTGATACTGCCTTGGAAACCTAAGGAGGGGTCGCTGAGTCGGGGCCGACTCGACGGCACATAACAACAACAACAACAACAAAGAAGAGTTGATGCCTTTGAATTATGGTGTTGGCAAATAATATTAAATATACCACGGACTGCGTGGCAGAATAACAAACACATCTGTCTTGGAAGAAATATAACCTTAATGCTCCTTAGACACCATGATGGCAAGACTTTGTCTCATGTACTTTGGACATGTTATCAGAAGGGACCAGTCCCTGAAGAAGGGTATCATGCATGGTAAAGTAGAGTCAGTGAAAAAGAAGAAGTTCCTCAGTGAAATGGATTGACACAGTGACTACAATGTTGTTGTTGTTGTTGTTGTTGTTGTTATGTGCCGTCGAGTCAAACCCGACTCATAGCGACCCCTCCTTGGGTTTCCGAGGCAGTATCACTACGGAAGTAGGATTGCCCAACCTTCCTTCCGAGGAGTGGCTGGTGGGTTTGAACCGCCAGCCGTCTGGTCAGCAGGTAAGTGTCTTAGCCACTATGCTACCAGAGTTCCCAGTGACTACAATAATGGGCTCAAATGTAGCACATTTGTGAAAATGGCATAGGACCAGGCAATGTTTCATTCTGTTGTGCATAGGGTTGCTATAAGTCAGAACCAACTTGATGGCACCTGACTACAACAACATGATTTCACTCAATAAACTGATGGTTAGCATTACTACCACTTTGTGTAGGGGTGTGGGGTACAACATATATAACATATGGTTCACCATTTTAATCATTTTAACATGTACAATTCAATGGCATTTAGTACATTTGTTAAATGTGCAACCATTACCATTATCTAGTTCTAGAACATATTCATCACCTCAAAAGAAATATCTATTAAGCCATCACTCTTCATTGCCCTCTGTCCCCAGCCCCTGTAACCACTGGTTTGCTTTCTGTCTCTGTTAATTTGTCCATTCTGTATATTTTATATAAATGGAATCTTATGAAGTATACCCTCAGGTCTGGCTTC